TGTGGTCACCATTAATTCTTGTATCTCACTCCTTTGTTTTAGGGATATCTTCTTGAATTATATCTCCTAACACTTTTTAAAGCAAAGGCTCATAAGTGGTAAATTATATCCTTGTATACCTGAAAATATTTTTACTTTGACTTCACTCATGAATAATAAGCTAGCTATTTTAGCTATTACATATTTCTTTATTTTCCCTTTGCACATGGAAGATATATTTTCATTGCCTTCTGGCATCTACTGCTGCCAATGCAAATGTTGCTGTCAGTTGATTTCTTTCAGCTTCCCTAAACCTAACCAGCCTCTTTCAGCATTTAAGACCCCTCCTCACCTGGCATAATTTTTGGGCAATCCCCCCCACCAAATGTCTTTATGTATGCATTTGTTTTTAGTTAGGTAAGGCAATTGGGGTACATGTTCCATCTTTGAATCTGAATATTTCTTCAATTCTGGAACACCCTATCTTGTTTGATGAAATGTGGTTTCTCCACTACTTTCTCAATGTCCTACTAGAGTTCCTGACAGATGCATGGCAGTTTATCTTCATAATCCTTCATTTTTTATTGAGTTACAATTCATATACCATAAAATTCATTTTCTGAGGTATACTATTTAGTATCTTTTGGGATATTAATAACATTCTGTGAACATCACCACCACCTAATTCCAGAGCATTTTAATTACCTCTAAAAGAAATGTTCCACTCTTGAGAAGTCTGACCTCATTCTGACCTCACCTCAGCCCCTGACAATCACTAATTTGCTATCTGTTTCTATGAATTAGCCATTCTGGATATTTTCTAGAAAAGAAATCATTTGACACGTCTCTGACTTTTTCTGCTGAACAAAATGTTTTCAAGGTTCGTCCATGATGTAGAATGTATCAGGGTACTTCATCCATTTAAAGAGATATGACATTTTACTTATATATTCATCATTTGATGAAGATTTATGTTGCTTTTATGTTTGGGATACTATGAGTAATAATGTTGCTGTGGACAGTTGTAAACCAAGTTTTACGTGAATATATTTTCATTTCTGTTGGGCATATACCTGGGAGTGAACTTGCTGGGTCACATGATCACCCTATGTTTAACTTTTTACTGTCAAACTTTGACAAAGTGCTTATGCCATTTTACATCCCTACCAGCAACGTGTAAGGCTCCCAATTTCTCTACATATTCACCAACACTTCTTATTGTCCATTTTTTTATTCTAGCCATCCTAGTGCATTTGAAGTCAGCTCTCACTTGTAGTTTTGATTTGCATTTCCCTGATTTACATGATGTCAAGTATCTTGCTATATGCTTATTGTCTGTGTGTAGATCTTCACTGGAGACCTGTCTATTCTAGTCCTTCCCTTATTTTTTAGTTGGGTTGCTTGGTTTTTGCTGCTGTTGAAGTTCTTTACATTTCGGGATGTTAACCCTTCATCAGGCGTCTGATCTGCTAATACTTTCTCCCATTCCATGAGTTGCCTTTCATTCTGCTGGTAATGTCCTTTGATGCGCACAAGTTTTTAACCTTGATAAAGTCCAACTTCAGTGCTTCTATGGTGACCTGTGGAATTTTAGTGCTTTGTGCTTCCCCACTGCCTTCCCTCCCCCTCCCCAAGTTCCTTCTCCTGTCTAGAGTTGTGTAATTGTTTCTATGGGTCCCTTAAACTTCCACATCAGAGCCAGGACTTATAATGATAATTTGTGTCTAGAGTCTCCAGAATCATTGGGGATATTGCAGATCCAATTCCGAAGCTAGTGTGGTCTGGTAGAAAAGCTGGATCAATGTTTTTCCAACTCTCTAGGCCACCAGCTTCCTGTTGGTTCTATTTGGCTGCAGCACCAGGCTGCAGGTCAGCAGTAGTGGTTTTAGCTCCCAGCCCAAGTCCTGTGTTCAGATCTCTCCTGACAGTCTAGCTCCTTCTGCTACTTCCTGACTCTCCCCACTCAGGATACAGAGCACAGCTGTCCATGGCTCGACTGTTGGTCACAGTTTGTGTGAAAGGATTCCCTTTTATTTCTGGTCCCTAGAGCAGGTTGTCTAATATTGGTCTTTAATTTTTTTTAAATTGATTTTTCTATTTTGCCCATCCTTGTATGTGTTTGGAGCAAAGGAATGTGTGTTAAAGAATGAACTTCCTAGGCCACTTGGCTGGAATTCACAACAGACGTTTTCACCCCTTCATGCAACAATGATTGATGAATTGATCAGCCTGCAGCTAACGGAGTTGATTACAATGGATCTGGCCACTTAGATGGTATTGAAGAAAACAACATCCAAATCTTGAAATCCCGAGCTAGATCTATTCAACTGATTGTATGATCAAAGGTGTTTAAAAGCTGTTTGTTGGTGGTGGTTAAGAATTGTGCCTGGTACAGCTGTGATGGCAATGAAACTCCTCTTAAGCGGGGGCATGAGCAGGCACTGGCTAGGCCAGGGGAGGAGGCCTCAGTGCATTTGAGCGACAGGCAAGCAATGAGTGAAGCTCCTTAGGGAGGACGGAGGGGAGCTGGCCACTGTAATGGGCGAGGTGGAGAGGATCAGTGGACTGTGTGGTCAACTGTCATCATTGCTTTGGGAGCCACCCTTCCACTTATCTAGGCTTTCGAGATGGTCAGAACTCAAAAACCTGAGACACAAGTCTGGGATCAACTCAGACTACCATAGTCAGACTAAGAACAAGGTGGTGTGCCTCTGATCAGAGGCCATGCAAGCCCAGCAAGCCAGCCGTGGGTGCCCAGCAGAGCAGGTGGGACCCTGTCAGCTTGGCACCTCCTTGTGTAAGACCAGGTAGACCTCCACAGTTCCACCTGAATCAGGAATAAAATGAGTCTATGAGGAGCAGATGTCATTCCTTGACTCTGGAATTGCTTGGTGTAGAGCTGTTTTCTTCCTAATGCTTTAAAGTCCTAAAAGCATGATGGCCACAGCAAGGACACCATGACAGGGGCTTCCAGACCCTGTGAGGCCAGGTCCACTCAGTACTAAAAAACAAGCGAGTATAGTTGAAAGAAATCCAAACATCAAAATGAGTTTGGATGGTTCCTCTCAACAGCATCATAAATCAAACACCCACTCATGTACACAACCTTGTAAACACGGGATGATACCCGGAGTCAGAAAAGAATAAGATGGTCTCCACTGTGGAAAAAGCAACCTATCAACAGGTAGAGGCACATATCAGCAAATCCCCATAATGCAATCACCACCTAGATGATCTGGAGAGGACTACAATGAGAAATGAACCAAGAGAAGCCAAGGGAAATTAGTTTCAGGCAGTGACAGAGGCAGGAAATTCAAGGGCTACTCAGCAGACACCCAGTGAATCCAGATGTTGAACCAGGGTAAAGAAGCTGCAGAAAATGAAGTTGAAAAAGCAAGTAGACGTAGATTATATTTCATTTGCCTAATAATGCCACTAATTATGAAGTGAACTATTACTTCATGCACAAGCAAGAAAAAATAGCTGCTAGTTAAATTATCACAGCCCACAGATTTCAAAGTACCCCAACTTCAGAAGGGTTAAAATACAAGGCAATGTGCCTTTCAGAATAGATGCAATATGTTAGTTCCCAAAAGAAGAAATCCAAGACATGAATTAACATCACAAGACAGACAGTTTTTTTTTTTTTGTAAAAACTAATAAAGGCAAGCCAAATATGAAGAACATGTCATGTTTTCTTACCAAGGTGGTAAAGTATTAAAAATAATGCTCAGCATTAGCAATAGTGGACAATAGTGGAATGGGAAAATTCACACTAAAAGTGTAAATTAACATTACCTTTCTGAAAATCATTTTGTAATAAATGTCAGGAAACTAAATATGTATATATCCTTAAGTTAATAATCTGTCTCTAGGAATCTATCCCAATGAATTCTTATGGGCTCTTGCATAAGAAGATGACATTACTTATAGCAATAAAAATGTAAGCTACATGAATGGCAAATTATCAATGAAAATATAAGTAAATCATAGTGTAATCACAAAAATATGAACCAATCATATGATATGTCAAGAGCTTTGTAATGTTTTGAACAACTAATAATAATAAAAAAAATTACTAACATGAAGAAACATTTAATGTAAGGGTAAATTTCAAAGGGGAGAAACAAAATTACACTTAAAGTATCATTTGAATTTAAGCATCAAAGTATTTAATAAAGACAGAAGGAGAGGTCATTTAGTTTAAGTCTGAGGGAATACCATTATTCTTCAAATTTTTCCTTCCCCAATTTTTTATTATTTAAAAAGTATTTTTAAATGGCCATGTTTACCTTTTATAATCTCTCCTTCTCCCCAAACAGATATGTGTTTTCCAAGTTCCACTACAATTAAATTGTAGTAGAAAATGTAAGACTATGTCTGGACACAGAGTGACCAATTGGCACCCCTTATATTAACTGGCATCTACAAATGATCATTATCAATGTTTAAAAATTATCTAGTCTGGGTTAGATGGGATCCAGGTCATGAATATTTTCATATTCCTCAAAAGTAGAAATGAGCTACATCATTAGCTATGATACTGGGTCAGTACTATGCTACATTTACAAGCATTATTTCCCAATCCTCATCAGACAGAGGAGACCCATGGGAAAAACAAAGTTCCAGGAAGATACAGTGTAGATGAGGTGGCAAAGTTTGAACAAGGCAAAACTGAATTATAAATTCATGTCTTTCTCTCCAGATTCACACTTCTTTCCCTGCACCACCTGCCTCTCAGGCTACAGATTTCTGTCGCCTGTCTAGATGAATGTCCATAAAGAATAAAACTCTATTCTTTCCGTTGGTGAGTAGAAGAGATTGTGAACTAATTATGGAACCCTTTCTGTTGGAACCTCACCCATATGGATGCCAGGCACATAGCTCTCTGATAGTGAAGCAGACTAGATAAACAAGGGGCCAGATTTTCAATTTATTAACCACTACACTCAACTCTTGATAAAGCAGTTTTCTAGGTTGTGTGTGGTCACTAAGATCATAGCACAATACCATTTACCCACCTGGCAAGGTAAGGCGACTTGTGGAGCTAGTGCTGGGGGCTGGTGAGCCATGAGAACGCTTCTTTGTGCCTGTAAAGAGGAAAAAGAGGATAAGGAAAAGTAGGATGGTGGATACACCTGAAATACGTTCGATAAATCCAAAAGTTTGGGTCTAATAGAAGGTTGGGTGAGACAACAGGGCAATGCACAGTCTCTGGTCCCAAAGAGCCACGAGTCCAGCTTTGATCTTTGTGCGAGTGATTGTGCTCCGTCCCCTGGTTGGCAGGTTGGCATGTGCAGACCAATGCACCTGAACAGGGTGCACTTTGGCAGCACTGGGAAAGCTTCTAAACATGCAATTCCTTAGGGCGTTGCCCCAAAACCTTCTGTTTACATGGTACTGGGGTGGAACCCAGCTTTAGTATTTTTCTTTTGATACCAGGGATTAAACCCAGCAGTGCTTAACCACTGAGCCATATCCCCAGCCATTTTTAGTATTTTATTTTGTGAAAGAGTCTCACTGAGTTGCTTAGGATCTTGCTAAGTTGCTGAAGCTGGCTTCGAATACCATCCTGTTGCCTCAGCCTCCCGAGCCTCTGGGATTACAGGCATGTGCCAATGCACCCGGCTAGCATTGGTATTTTTAAATCCCCTCAGATGATCCTAATATGCATCCATGGTACAGAACTACTAGCTGGGAAAGGAAAGTTCTGGATTTAGAATTGAGGAATTGGGGTTTGGTTCCTGCTTTGTCTCTGTAGCCTCTCCTTGCCATTGGATCTCAAGCCATTATAACTGGATCTCTCTGAGGCTCAGGTCTCCATCCAAAATAAAAGTGAAATTACAATAATTACATCCAAGTGTGCTGGTGAAGATCAAAGGAACCAAGGTATGTTAGAGCACTCAGGAACTGTGGGGGACTACACAAATGCCAGGGAGTAGATTCTCTGAGCACCCCAGTATTTTATCAGGAACAGGATTATCTGTGTTCTATAAACAGTTTAATGGGTTCCTGAGGGATTGAAAAGGCAGTCTCCAGAGTAGAATCAATAAGGACAAATCAGCAAAGGGACAGAGGAAGGGCTGATTGTTTTACAAAAGAACATTTACATTTTACACATGTGTGTGTACATAGATATGTGTACTGATTATTGTATACACACATACATATTCATATGTAAATATATAGGTACACATCGACTCATACATGCAAATGTATCTTATATACATTTATAAATATCATTCATTCAATCATTCATTCTTTCATTCTTTGATTTTGCCATTCAGAATGAGGAGGAAGAGGCCTGGAAGCCAGAATCCAGCAACCCAGCAGATGCCAGAAGTCTGAGCTAGTAGGAATGCAGAGAGAATCCTTGAGCAGAGAGTAGAGAGTCAATGTTATTCCTGTTATGAGTCCTTCAGATTTTAAATAAAGTTTGCTCCATACATGGAGGCCTGGTGTGAGTGGTAATTGGGTTGATGGAGAAAACTGTCAACGGAGTCACCAGAAAAGGTAACAAGATGACCCACAGGCTAATGGGCATCAAAGGAAGCAGGAATTTGGGGCTGGAGGTGAGTGGGTGAGCAGTGAGCTTTCCCTGTACCTGAATTCCTGGTGAGAAGTGGGGGAATGCACTTTGAATGGTGTTTGAAGCTATTTCATTTTAAATCTTAAAGAACAAGGGAACAACCTCAATGTTCTGTGTTATTATTAATTATTACTTTTATTATTGGCAGGAATAGCAGTAGTGTGAAGGATTAATAAAAAATAGAAAATACAAAATTAATCCAATCACCTCAGACTTATAAAAAAAATTTGATTTGCATGAGGTTAAAAAAAAAAAAAAAACTGTATCCCGCAGGATTTCAGTTGTACATTTCCCAGGTTTCATGGCTGCCCTGAAAGTCAGAGTCATAGGGGAACTTCAAGGGTCTAAACTGGCTGTACCTGTGCTTCAGAGTCCCTGAAGGCAATTTTTATAACTATGGCTTTCAGAGTTTTCTCCTGGACTCTGAGGAAGAATCTGTAGGAATGGAGTCAGTGCTCTGCCTTTTTGGCAAGTTCCCCAGGGTGAATCTAGTGACCATTAGTCTCATAAGGTGTCTTGGTCACTATGAAATTAAAAAAAAAAAAAATGTACCTAGGATGACACTGTGGTCCAGGCTAGGCCCACCTCACTTGTGCAGGCCAAAGGGTGTGGTTCACATTGTATCCCACATAAAGCATGGAGGACCACTAGCCAGCCCTGACCAGGGGTGCTACCAGGATGCAAATCCAACCTCCAAACTTCCTGTTCCATCAGAAATGCCTGTGTCCTGATTGATCCACCTCCACTATGGGGACAATAACTATGGCTTTCAGAGTTTTCTCCTGGACTCTGAAGAAGGATACAATATGTTTATCCTTCCTTTTTGTTTGTCTCACAATATTTGGGACATGTTTTCTCAACAGGGACACTATGACATTTGAGCTGCATGATTCTTTGTGATGGGAGTGTCCTGGGCATTGCAGGAGGTTTTAGAACTATTCCTGGCCTCTACCCACTAGATGTCAGTACCACCTCCCAAGTCACAACAATCAAAAGTATCCTCCGGGCAATGACAAATTTCTTCTGGAGGCAAAATTGCCCTCAGTTGAGAATGCCTCTTCTAGGATGGAGACAGGATTTAGGACTTTTTTATTCAGAGCCATTATTCCCAATGCGGTTGCTTGGTCCTTAGTAATAGTCACTGCCAGCTATTAAGAGGTTTCTATGTCCCTGGTACACTATTAACTAGGAACAAGGAAGTGCATATTCTTTCTGATAATAACATTCTGACAATAACAATATTCACATTTTATAGTATTTGGAGACAAAGGAAGTTTAAGCAATTTGTGCAAAGTTACTGGGTATTGATGGTGGGTAAAATTTAGCCAAGACCCTTCAAAGTTCAAACATACAGAAATTTTTTTCCCATGACTCTTATTTCCTCTTGGTCTTCCAATACAGCCTCTCCACTTTGTGTAAGGATCAAAAAAACCTGGAGCAATTAACAAAAGGAGAAAACAAAACCGGGTTCTCTGACCAGACCAAACCATAGGGAGCCAGCACTTCTGGAGAAGATGCCCCAGGGATATGGATATTTCACACTTGCCACAGTGTGGCTCTGAGGTGGCTCTCAGGTGGCTGTGAGGCTCAGGCATCCTAGGTTTACCCACTACACCAGAACTTTCCTTCCTGGTGGAAACTATGGCTTTTGGTGGAGACTCTTCTGGAGAGGTCCAATTTAATCCTGCCTACACGAGTACTTGAAAATTGCAAAGCACTTGGAGGCGCTGCTTTCAGTATGGAAATATCTACTGTGACCAGGTTACTTCACAGGAATTTTGGGTGCAATTAAAAAAATAATTATGACCTACTGTGATCTTCCAAAGCCTGCAGTTTAATGGCTTGCCCTAGAGGCAGGTTTTCATTCCTTTGGTGCCTTCTTAGCAGACACCGAGTCAGACAAGGGAACTCTTCAGGCCTCGGGGCAGTGAAAAAGCAGATAGGTGCGCCACATCTTCTATAAATGCTGTTGTTTACCCTGTTTGCTTGATGAAATGTGTGGTCTATCAGGAAGGGTTGAAACCATCCCAACCAGCGTCTCAGAATCATGAGTCATAGGCAGGCAGCAGGCAGGGATGCATAAAATAACCTTCAGACAGCACCTGGGACCACTGGGGGTGGGGAGGTTCTGAGTCAGCCTCCCACGGATGCCAGTTTACTGCTGCTGCATTCGAAAAGTCATTTTCCACTCCAGAGCCAACCAATTACCTATCACTCTGCTCAAAAGTTCCACTTGTGGGAATAATACCAATTCAGACTTAAGTTTTGACTTCTAAAACCCTTTGCCTCTCCCTGGCTCCCATCCCAGGGAGAACATTAGAAACTGTCAGAAGATCCAGATACAAGTTCAGCTTCTAAACTGTGCTCGATGGTACCATGTAGGTGGACAGCTGGGGACAAAGCATCACATGGAACTGGCTTTTGGATGTACTGCAGAAGTCCAGGCGGGGATACTGATCCATGAGTGACTTGTTAACCACTCTGTCAGTGGTTTTTAATCCTGGCTACATATAAGGATCATCTGCTGTCATGTGCTGACATTTGAATGCTTTACCCAGGGATGCTCTTTGGTTTGGTTTGGTTTTTGTCTGGTGTGGGATCAGGGCCTAGGTACTTTGTAAAGTGAATCCCCAGCAAAGATGTTTCTTTCAGCTGTCAGGAGTTCTGTCATCTGAAGAGCTAGGGTGCTTTATCCTCCTACAGAATATGAATTTTGTAAGGAGTTTCTTTCCTTTTTTTTTTTTTTTTAAGGTTTCCTGGAAGCTCAGATGCAGTTTAGGACTTCATGCTGGGAACTGGGAAGCCTTTTATTTAACATGCATGTTCCCAAAGGAACATTTGCCCTGGTTCACTAACTCACTATGCCTCAGTTTTATTCTGATTATTTTTTTCAGCACCAGGGATTAAACCCAGGGGTGCTTAACCACTGAGCCACATATCTAGCCCTTTTTTTAAAAATATACTATATTTAGAGACAGGGTCTCACTGAGTTGCTTATGGCCTTGCTAAATTGCTTAGGCTGGCTTTGAACTCAGGATCCTCCTGCCTTGGCCTCCCCCAAGCTGCTGGGATTACAGGCACATGGCACTATACCCGACTTTTATTCTGATTTCTTAATTCAAAGAAAAACAATTTTATAATCAATTTATGTGATTTTAGAATTCTCAAATATTTTACAAATGAGGTAGATAATATAAAAACAAACAATTATGTGGATACTGACATAATATTTCATTTTCCTCATTTTTTTATTTCTAAAAACTTCAATTTGAGAACATAATGGTGAGGCTCAAGTAAGAAAATACTTGTGTAAACCATGAAGTGTAACATACTGTTTGTTATTGTTCAGTTTATATTCAAAGAAAGTGGTGTGTGTGTGTGTGTGTGTGTGTAGTAGGTAATACATCATCTTTGGTAAATAAACATTTCAAGGTCAAGAATTACATTGTCCTTGACCTAGAGTGAATGTTTAAGGAGTAAACAATCCAATCAGTCAGCTTG